CTTTAATTTCTTACAACCCCTCATTTATAAATTTGTACACCCCATCCCTAAGTGATTGTAATAACATAGAATATTTACCTTCCACAATTTATCGCTTTCATATAAATGCTAGTAAAATAGGATTTGTATGGGAAGATAAAAACAACAAGTAGACAACTCCTAATCAAAGACTAAATGTATGCAAATCAAACACACTATTCACACATGAACCCTTAGGGCTACCCCCACTTGTTGCCTAAAAATGTTCATGTTATGCACGTGAGACGTCTTAGCAAAAACAATCAAAATACAAGATCATAGTCCCTCGATGATGCTTCGAATGTTGCCTTATAAATGATCTTAGTCCCTCAAGAAAAATGCTAAGATATCTTACAACATTGCTAATCATGGTTATAAGATGACCCACGCCTACCCCTTTTACATCCAAAGATAGGGTTACTTACCAAATCAATGGTAAGATAACAATGCCAAAGGAAAAAGAAAATGAACATGAAAGACTTTTGAGTAGGTAGAATGATCCTAATTACTTTCTCAATCTTCAAAACATCCTTTCTATTTTAAAAACAAACACCTACACTTTCAAAACCTCTTACAAACTTGAAAACATTTTCAAAAGATCAAACATCTTTGTATACATTCTTACGAACGAGAATCATTACAAAGATTGCCTAAGCAATGGCCTCTTTACAAAATACTTTCAAAAATCACACAAAGCATAATTTCAAACAAAAGCAAGTGATCTAGCAAGTAACTAAGAGCCCATGGAAAACCATGGATGAAAAGGGTGCTAATACCTTCCCTTTTCATAATCTACCCCCCCCCCCCCCCCCCCCCCGAACTCAAGAAACAATCTCAAAGGTCTTTCTTGTGCTTTTTCACCTTTCCTTTTGGATAAAAGAAAAGTCGATGGCAACTCTTGCTAACTGCAACATTTGCGATCAAACACAAAACCCTTAAGTCAGTTCTCCCACCGTATCACAAGACTCATGTTTGCCTATGGGAGATTCTAATTTTATATCCTCATGAGGACAACCATCATCCGTAATGAAGTGATTTCTGCTCACCAGTATAGGACTTCTTGTCGGCTTGAATCTTGTAGAGATGGCTATACCCAATGCAATGAATATTGTTGATGTTACCATCTAAGTATTTTGGCTCCCCAATGTAAGAGGTAGTATTTGTCCCCAATCGAAGCCGAATTTCGAGGACCTACCAAAGTAACTTGTCTTTCATTCCCCAGTGGAGAGAATTCTTCTTTCCCTAGTGGAGCAAGTGTCATGTATCCCTAGTGTGGTGTGCATAGGAGTGCCAGTCATAGCTCGTTTCCCATTGATAGAAGATTTTGTTGAGACATCCCCAGTGGAGTTTCTGTACCAAGATGTTTGTTTCTTCCCCATGTGTAGATTTTTTACCTTCCGGTGGTGTTATCCCCAGTGTGGTCTGAGGAGAATTCTTTTTACTTAAGAATTTCTATCCCCAACAGAAGTTATCTTTGTCAAGAGATTCTACGCGAGAAAGTTGCCATACCCAACGAATCTCTCTTCTTTCTAACAGAGGATAAAGACTTTGTTCCCTAGGAAGTTGGAACTTTGGTCAGAATTTAAGATTTTCTATGAACTGCAATTTATTCTTGCAGTATTCTTCCCAGGAAGTTACTTCCTCAAAGTTATCGATCTTTTAAGGATTACTGGTTTCAAATATTGTTTCCCTATTGAGGTTTGGTTTTTCTTTTCTCTATAGAAGATCAGATGCGCAATAATAATCATTCGGAAGTTCATTGTCTTCTCAGCAGTTGATTATTAACGTGCTTTCCCCAGTGCATTACTAAACATGCATCATTACATTGCATCTACCAAAACGCGTAGCATTTCTGTTGTATGGAGCATTACACTAAAAAAAATTCAAACATGCATGAGTATAAGCCAATTATATTCACTTGTGGTAACCAGATTGTTATGCGCTCAGAATTGATTTATCTCCACAACAAGCCTAGGGTGATTCTATTCTGTTTCCCCAGCGGAGTTTATTTTGATTCACCATCAGATGGGTCTTTGGTATTTCTCCATTTCCCCAGTAAGTTTGTGGTTTTCCCTTTCCTTTGCAGGCCCTTGTTTATTTTTCCCATGTTTGCTTTGCCGTTAGAGTGCGAGTAAGAGTCAGTGATAGCCTTTCTTACTTCTCAAGTATTTGAGTATCCATACTTGGTGTGTGGTAATTTAGATAATTTCCACTCTTAAAGAATTACACCCCGCCTTTGGCCTGAGGGATTTGGTAGTTCTTGCGTATTTGTAACCTATCGAAAGCCCAACGTGTTTTGGCAATCCTTGTTAGAGTTTTCTTTGACCAAACTCTTTCTCTTGTAGAGTTAACCTTCGATCGGTGCTCTTTGAAGGTCCTGCTTAGTTGGTTCCTTGTTTTGATTTATCCGCGTTATTCGGGTCCTCCTTTCGTTAGCTTAGCTAACCTTTTCTGTTAAGAGTCCTTCAGTGTCTCTTCAAAGTCCAGTTGTCTAGTGTCCTTGTTTAGGCGAATGCGTCCTTTCTTGTTGGGGCTTTCTTCGGTTAATCTCGTTCTTGTGTTCACTATCAACTCCAAACATTTGTTTCTTGATGCTCAATTTCTCTCTTGTGTGTCTAACTCTGACCAGATATGCATATCTTTATCCCTTGTGAGTTTGCCTTTGATTGGCGTTCTTTTCTTAAAATCAACCTTTGGCTGGTACCTTTTGTTGAGAGTCCCCTTCGGCTGGTCTCTTTTCATTGTAAGTTCTCCTTTGATTGGCATTCTTTTCTTAGGAATCTACCTTCGGCATAGTATTCCTTGATGAAGATTCCCCTTCGGTTGGTTTCTTTATCTTGAAGTCCACCTTCGGCTGGCACCCTTTAAATTGACCTTCGGCTGGTACCTTTTGTTAAGAGTCCCCTTCGACTGGTCTCTTTTCAGTTGTAAGTACGCCTTTGATTGGCGCTCTTTTCTTAGGAAACTACCTTCGACATAGTATTCATTGTTAAAGATTCCCCTTCGGCTGGTTTCTTTACCTATAAAATCCACCTTCGGTTGGTACCTTTTGTTAAGAGTCCCCATTCAGCTAGTATATTTTCATTGTAAGTTCGCCTTTGTTCAGCATTCTTTTCTTAGGAATCTACCTTCGGCATAGTATTCCTTGATGAATATTCCCCTTTGGTTGGTTTCTTTATCCTGAAGTCCACCTTTGGCTAGCGCCCATAAAATCCACCTTCGGATGGTACCTTTTGTTGAGAGTCACCTTTGGCTGGTCTCTTTTCAGTTGAAAGTTCTCCTTTGATCGGCGTTCTTTCCTTATGAATCTACCTCCGACATAGTATTCCTTGTTAAAGATTCCCCTTTGGCTGGTTTCTTTACCCTTAAAGTCCACCTTCGGCTGCTACCTTTTGTTAAGAGTCACCTTCGGCTGGTCTCTTTTCTTTGAAAAGTTTCCCTTGATCGACGTTCTTTCCCCTTTAAATCCACCTTCAGCTGGTATTATTTGTTAGGAGTCCCCTTCGGTTGGTCTCTTTTCTTTGTAAGTCCGCCTTTGATCGGAATTCTATTCAGAGTCAATGTTTATTTCTGTCCCCGGTAAGTTCGCCTTCGATTGGCGTTCCTTCGTTAGAGCCTTCTTCGGTCGGTCTCTTTCTTGTGTATGTTTAACCTTGACCTGACATCCAATAAATTTACTCAGCTGACTACTGTAATCCAAAAAAAAAGCAAAAAAATAGAAATACAGAAAACCAAAAAATATAATAATACTTAACTGGCTTCATAATGCAAATTTTTGGGTTCTTTTAGTATTTAATCTTCTTCCACCTTGAATGTTCAAAAGTCTAGCTCCAGTCTCACCTTCAGGTTGAAGGTGATGAAATAGGGGCAGCTATTGCACCCCAAAATTTCCCTCCTAATTTCTTATGTTTGGCTTAGGCTTAGCATCGCATTCATATCTTTTCATTAGGTTACTAACATGGCATATATTTCATTCAATAAAGCGCTTAAGGTTCAATGTCCAGTGGGCATGCGATGCTAGAGTTTTCATAGTATTTCAAGGTGTACAGGACAACACATGTCTTTTGTGGTAGGTCAAGATTTCACTACTTACGAGGATTGTGTTCTCAACTAAATTTTTCATTATCATGGATTGAGATGTGTTTCCATTATGTTGGAAAGCACCCGTGGTTTAGGGTTGCGTTGACCATTATTTGGATTTCTCTTCAATATTGGGAGTTACTCATTAATCAAGACGACATTCCATCTTCATCTTCTTGTAATGCGAGTTATGTGCTCTGGACTTTGTTCAAAAGTGGGTATGAATTGAGAACGGGTATTGAATCACTTCGGATAGTATGATGCAGTGGGTCACATCTTTGGCATGATGAAGCTTTCAAGAAGAATTAGTTATCAATGATGCAAAATCCAAAGGCAAATTAAGGATAGAAATCATTCATTTATTTGGAAAAGATCATTGTATTCAACATAATTCAAAGTTCTGTTTTGCAAAGTATTCATAAGGAGTATGTATAGAATTAAGGTTTTCAGAATAATTCTATTCGAGTACCGTCAAAGTTCCACAATTTCATTCGAGTTCTTTCCAAATAACAGGTGAACAACTACTATTTAATTCACCATGACCATTATGATATTGTTCAAGCACATAACTATCACAAAACTACATCGTTCAATTTCAAGTCAATTCAAACATTGCAAGTCTTAATAAATAAAAAATAGTTACATCAAGAATCGGTACTAGAATTCTTCAAGCTCGATGTCACATTATACAAAGTGAATCATATGAAAGTATTACTAAGCCTAGGCTAAATATTCATGCTTCCATCTTCATGCTCCTAAACCCTTGCCAACTTGCTTCAACTTCATGTTAAGAAGTTAATGTCCATGTACAGACCCGCAACACACACAAATCGAACTGTATGTCATGATGAGCATAAATATTCAAAGGTTCGAAAGAGGTTGCGCATAAACCCATATCAAATTCAGGCGAATATAAAGCATACAACCTCATGAATACTAGGGGAAATTACATCTGCAAGTTCAGATTCAAGACCACACATTGCCATTATCACAACATCTCGAAAAAGCCCTGCACTCACACTTACATACATGCTTTGAGCTTCAACCATATGCAGCCACATACTGCAAGCGGCTCACCAATATGTGGTGCTTGTATACCAACTACTTCCTTGTTATTGTCCTATACAACAAATAGATCACATCAGTCCTGCAGCTTGGATAAACAAATCAACAGAATGCAAAAGCAGAGGAATTAAACTCAGGCTTCAAAACAAGAAAAAGAGAAGAACAAAAACTGTCCATAATGGAAAAACCGCGAAATATCAAACCAGCTCAGAAAAACCAGAAGGAAATCAGTGTCACAGAGCCCATACAAATTCAAGAGTATATGTAGGATCAAACAAAGGGAAAAATGCCATTTTTACCAATAATTCTAACAACTAACTCCAACCACATAATTGAATTAGTTACTTTCCATATCATTCAAACAGAAAACAAAATTGTTTCCAACTACTCTAACAACCTCCTAACTGTTTCTAACCGTAACAGAATTCTATCAAAAACCTGCTAAATATTTCCTAACTGTTCACAGAACTAACTTCCTAGCAGAACTATTAACCTCCCAAAACTATGCTGCTAATAGATCCCAGTCATCTAGCTCCCTAACATTTACAACTGTCCAAAACACAATTCCCAACCAATTCTAACAGATTCCAACTGGTCCTCCTAACCAACTTCTAATAAAATTCGTAACAAACTTCTAACAGAAGGGGGAATAAAAGAGAAGGCAAGGAATCAGAAGATTCTAACAGAATTACATAACAGGAAAAAAACTCACCGGGAAAGGGCTCGGATCTGGATTCTTCTCCTCACCAATCTTCATTCTCTCTTCACTCTCTTCGAGTTCTCTTCTCATCTTCATCTTCATTCTTCAATAATTTGAGAAGAATCACAAAAAACAGAAAATGAGCTTCTTTGTACTCTCTCTGAATTCCATCTTCATCTGCCTCACATCACTTCACTTTAATCTTCATCTTATGCAAGTAAGTAAACCTCCATAACCGTGAATCTCAACCTTCAACAATCACCAAGAAACTTCAAAAATACAATCCGCAGCCATCATCTTCAAGCATCATCCCCAACAATTTGTAACTATCACCATCTCCACCGCAATATTGCCAAGCTTCCTCATCAATCTACATCACACAACAAGATTCATCATCAATCTTCAATCACCTTCAATAATCTACGTCAAATCTTCATTCGGAATTTTCATTGCATCAAAGACTCAAATACAGCTTCAATCATCATCGTCGTAATTTCAATCTCACAACGATTTCGTAGCAGAATCGGAACAACGACAATATTGAGCTCGTACTAAAAAATAGGAGTGCGAGGATGAAGAGGGAACAAAAATGTGAGAACGAAGAGGGAACAAAAATGTGAAGCGCATATTCGTATATACCTGAGTTTGTTGTGAAGTAATTTTCGATTTTCTCGATGATTTCACCATTTCCAATGTTTCTTTATTAATCAGATTTTGAACGATGATGATGAGGGGTCCGAGCTTGATGTCAAAGAATAAGTTTGTGTGAATTTGATGTAGAGGTTAATATGGTGAATTTTGTCACAAATATCACGATGACGGAAGGGGAAAAGAGGCCATGGCGGTTGGGGCTGGATCGGTGATGAAGAAATTGGTCGTCGTCGCGTCTGAGATTGTAGAAGGAGGAGGTGTCATCAAGTTTCAAACATATGAATGGTCACAAACCCTAGTGGACTAAAATGCGTCGTATCCTCTCATTCTTTATAATTTTTTTGTTTCCTTGTTTTTTTTAAAAGAGAAATGTTGGATGGGTGAACGGACCGAAAATATCTTTCTTAGGCCCATGCACATGTTTTTTTTAAGCCTGGGAAGCTTAATAAGAAATGCTCATTGGACTCTATCCGGCTGGGCCTAGCGCCCTTACTAGCCCACACTCATGGATTACTGGCTTGCACCCCCTGAGATTATTCTATTAGTATTTTCCTTTAAATGATTTTGTGAATTGTTTATGTTTGTTTGAATTTTCGTCACATGATAAAAATGATAAAATCAATAAAATTTGTTATATTTTTATTTGATTTTCTGAATTAAATCAGGATTATCTGATTACTTAAGATTTGTAATTCACCTTTGTTTGTCAATATTTGAGTTTTATGCAGGTTTACTGTGTGATATGGTAATGCACTTGAGATTTCGATTGTGAATTATTTTCACATCCATGATGCTTCGACACTTATTCTGAGTGTTTGATTTCTGACTCTTTTATGGGTTTGGTGAAGCTTTCGTGAAGATCGCCGGTTTTCTTTGTTTTGATGCGCTTTGCTACGGATTAATATCCATTTGGTATTTTCCCTTGTTTATCTCATTTCAGTACTTTACTACTTTCTAGATATCATGAGAAGTAGGAAATAAAGAGCATGCGCTTGAAGTCGTTGTTTAAAGACCTGTAGCAGGAATTCCGCACTTCATTTACTATATGTGTTGTTCTTGTGTTTGTTTACTTTCTTGTTGATCGATGAGTCACTCAATTAAGAAATTGAGATCACGACTTTTCTCTCATTGCATGTTCCACATAGGATAGTTTTGTTAGACTTTCTTAGGTAATTCTAGCCTAGATAGGATCTCTCTAGATATGCTCTCTTGAGCTAGCTCTCTTGAGCTTATTGGCTTGTTTGTTTGATTTCATCTTTGTGTGCATGTTTTGAGATGATATACCCTCGACATGTTCCCTTAGGAGCTCTCGATTCAACTATAGATGTTGATTCGAGATAGACATAGTTTTAGGCTATAGACCCCTGCTATGCTCCTTTAGGACTTCTTGATTCATCTTAGATGATGAGTTGAGATAGACATTAGGATTGTTATCCAAGCATGTCAAATATAGGGTAGATATTTCCCTTCAAAGCTCAACCTTAGGATCAATCATTGTATGATAACATTAGGGGATAGATTTAGGCTAGTCTCCGTTAGATGTTTTTATTTTCTTTTGCATCCTTGCATTTAAAACAAAAACTTTCTCTTTTTCATGAAAAAAACATAAAACATCTAACAACTTCCAAATCCTTATTTAAGGTAAAAGCTATCAACCAATGCAAACTCCTTTTCCTTTTGGATTTTCTTTCGAAACTCTTTTCAAAAGAGCGTGTTAATTCACTTATGTGCTGATGCGTAAATCTCCAAAGGTCGAGTTGTGGCAGAAGGTGAAATTGATATTGTTCATTAAAAAATACAAACCAACAAAAACGTTTGGAGCCGAACTACGGCTGCTCTGATTCCTTAAAAGGGATACGTAGGCATTGGGGTAGGGCCCGAGCGAGCACAAATTTCATTTTCCCTACATTCTTTTCTCCTTTCTTTTGTATGAATTCCCTGTACAGTTTAGATATAGATTAGACACACCCTTTTATTATAACAACAAGAGTGGATACCATAGAGCACTACGGGCGTGTGGGGGTGCTAATACCTTCCCCTCACGTAACAGACTCCCTCACCCGTATCTCTTGGTCATTCGACCGTGACTTCTCCTCTCTCATGTTTACTCGATGTTTACCTTTCCCCTCTTGTGGGATAAAAAATGTTTAATGGCGACTTTATTGATTGCATTATCAGTTGATTGTTCAACGGGTTGTTACACCAACAAGTTTTGATTTAAAGTTGTAATATTTTTCAATATATGGATTATGTTACCTTCAATAAAGACATTTTGTTTCCGTATCTCGATTGTGTATCTATTTTTAAGATATTCACCAAATAAAAAATATAAAAGAAGCAAAAGATAAATATATACCCAAGTGAATAAGAAATTTAAAACAAGAAACCATTCATGTTCAATCATACGTATGCATGCATTCTCAAACACTCGCATTTCATATCAAAGCTCATCTTTTTCAAAATATATCAAGTTAAACCATTGGTAAAAGAAGATCACTGCCTCCTTGGCCTCCATATAAAACAAGGGCCTACCAACAAAAAGCAATGGAACAAATCAAGGAGAATCAGGTTACATTCAAGGAGGATCTCGACCAAGTCAAGGGTGATGTGAGTTCAATGAAAGGAGATCTGAGTCAAGTTCTCCTAGATTTGAAGAACATCATTGACAGACAATATCAGATTCCTAGGGTAGCTTTCAAAGAAGTAGCTCAAATGATTGGTGCATCAAGCGGTCACCAACTAAGAAAAGAGCCAGAGACAAGACCCCAAAAGTCCGTCATGGCCCAACAAGAGACAAGAGAAGTTAAAACTGAAGGGTTTATCCCACCACCATCAAAAGCAGGGGCATCACATACCCTACAAATTCCAATAAAAAAATGCAGACAACTACTTGGACTTGCAGTACAGAGACCACGACCTAGAGGATGTCAATAAGGCACCCTTGAAGATGACTGCTACTCATGTTGTTGATATACCACTGGTGGTGAATCAATATAAGGCTCTGGAAGAAAGGTTGAAAGTTGTGGAGGGTTTTGATGCCTTCGAAGTAGATGCTCTCGAAAGGGGCCTAGTTCCTGATGTGGTAATTTTGCCGAAGTTAAAAGTGCTTGACTTTGGAAAATACAAAGGGGTCACTTGTCCAAATAATCATCTGCGTATGTATTGCAGGAAGATGCATGCCCATGCCCACGAACAAAAGCTGATGATTCAATGCTTTCAAGATAGCTTAAGAGGGCCATCTCTATATTGGTATATGCAATTGGAATTAGTTCATATTCAAAAATGGGGAGATATTGCTAATGCTTTCTTAAAGCATTACAAATATAACCTGGACATGGCGCCTACCCACATGCAACTCCAGAATCTGCCCCAGAAGAAAGAAGAGTGCTTCAAAGAATATGCTCAGAAATGGAGGGAGATGGCATCCCGTGTGCAACCACCATTGTTGGAGAAGGAGTTAGTAGATATGTTCATGGGAACCTTGCAAGGGTTATATTATGAGAAGATGGTAGGAAGTATCTCTTCGGGATTCTCAGACCTGGTGACTATTAGAGAAAGAATTGATTCTGGAATAAAGAGTGGGAAAATACCAGGGGGACTACCAAATGCCCCCTATAATTCAAAAAGACATGCCCCGAACTTCCCAAAAAGAAAAGAGGGAGAAATTAATGTTGTAGCATCACAACCAAGGGCACAACAACCATTAATGATTCCACAAGGACTTCAACAAGGAATATTTGGAAGGCCACAGATAAAATTTGATCCACTCCCTATGCCACCTAGCCAGTTATTACAACACTTGGTTAAGGCATCCTTGGTGGAATTAAAACCTCTAGCTCCTCCAGTCGGGCCACTCCTACGAAAGTACAATGCTGACGCCAGATGCAAATACCATGCTAACTCTCCTGGGCACACCATAGAACAATGTTGGGCGTTCAAGCATAAAGTGCAAGATTTGTTAGAATCTCATTATATCACTTTTGAGAAACCTATAATCAAATCAAACCCCATGCCTCCGCATGGTGGGCCGACAATAAATGCAATTGAAGTAGTCACTGACTTTGGGGCAATCAGACAAGCAAAGGCTTTGATAAACTTGTTGAAGGAATATCTGTTGGAATGTGGGTTCCTGTTAGAACATAATGAAGCCTTCGAAAGAACTCTGCAGAAGCTAGTGGACCAGGGGATAATCCAATTCGGACCATACCCTGAAGAAAAATACATAGTTGCGGTTGAAGGCAAGAAGTCATCGGTAATCCCTTGCCAAGGCCTAAATCTTAACAAGAAGACTCTGGTGATCCCATTGGAAGAATCGACAGAAACCCCAGGAATGGCACCAAAGAAGGCTCTCCAAATATCAGCAGTTCCAAAGGCCATGATGGTAATTAAGGGACCATCACCTATCCCTTATGAAAGTAACAAAGCAGTACCATGGAGTTATGACTCAACCG